CCCCCCGCCCCCCCAAATGCCCCCTGCCGAGCCAACAACACCTGTGAGTGCGGCTTGCACTACGAAGGAGATGGAAGGACTTGCACAGGTATCATGGGCCGTGCGGCGCGGGCCTGAGCCGGGCAGCGCCGGGGGGCTCTGGCAAACGGAGAAAGGTGGGGAGCTGGGAGAGAGAAGGCAAATGAACCTGGTCTCAGGCAAAGGAAGATTTTTTTCAAACCCGCCTAAGGGATTTGGATGCCGAATGCCATCTCAGCCTGAACGCGCGCACACTGTTTGAATCCATGGGGGGGAGGTTAACGAGGACCAGCCTCTGGATCTGTTTTAGTGCGATATTCCTGGGGTGCCATAAACGGCTTCTCTCTAGTTGCCCGTCTGCCATTAGCTGGCTACGACTCCCTTGTGCTATGGAAAGGCCAAAAGGGTTGAGCGAGGCAGGACCTTGAGCTCCGGGCTGGAGGCGCAGGCCCTTGGGCAGCTCGCTGAGCTAGCGGCTGCTCTGTCTCCTTGCCGTAGTGATTGACCAGTGCCGGGCTGACAACGGAGGGTGCAGCGAGCATGCCACCTGCACCCAGCTGGGCGTTCAGCGCTCCTGCACCTGCCTGCCCAACTACCAGGGCGACGGCTACATCTGCAGCCCCATAGACCGGTGCGCGGACGGCAGGAACGGGGACTGCAGTGAGCATGCCTTGTGCATCAGCACGGGGCCAGTAAGTACACCGGCCCGCCCGGGAACGGAGGCATCGCCCCTCAGGTCCGCGTGCCGTGCTGCAGGACATGTGCCGCACAGGAAGTTGGGAAGCCTGACTTCCTGCCAGCTCTCAGGGGTCTGGGGCCATGCCTGGCGTCTGGTAAGTAAGGCAAGGGAAGGCATTGCCTTCCCAAACTGCCAGGCAGAGCCCCACCCACGCTCCACCCCCAGAACGCCTGCTGTAGTGCTCCGGGGCTGGAGAGGCTGGGGGAGCATGTGCCCGCCTGCTCCCCCTCCCCTCCCCATCCCTCCCCATCCCATGCTTGAGAGGGGGGAGCGCACGCACAGTGCACTGCCCCTCCTCCCTGTGGGGGTGTGGCCTCAGCAGAAGGGGCGGGGCTGGAGGGGGGGGCTGGGGACTTGCCTCCCCCAGCTGTGCCCTCACCAACCGCCCATGCGGCTATGGAGAGAGTTCCTCCCAGAGCTGCCTTCCCTCTGCTCAACCCAGCCTGTGCCCTCCGGGTGGGGAGTGCTAGCGGGCTGGGGTAAAGCTCCCCCTCCCCCCGCGCCCTGCCAGGGGCAGGCAGGGGGCAGGCCCGGGAGAGCCCACGATGGGCAACAGCAGAGCTCTGCTGCGAACAGGCCATGCACGGGGGGCCGTTGGCAGCCGGCCGGG